CGGCGACACGCCATTGCATCTTGCTGTTCGAAATTCTAAAGTTGATGTGGTAAATTCACTTCTTCAATATGGTGTTGAGAGAGACGTACAAAATTTGGTATGTTGTTTTTGTGTTTTAATACCTGCATACTAACATTGTTATCATTCATACATTTATGCTGCACATAATGTTGTTTTCACTAGTTCATGAATTTTAGAATCAAATTCTCAAAATTCAAATAATTCCTGTTGATAAGCATTTTTTCTCTATTGTTTTATAGTTTTCCATGACGCCGTTAGAAATAGCCTTCGAGAAAGGAAACCCACATATAATACAATTGTTGTCTAATGCAGATATACCAGACAGTGTGTTCGACGAGGTCCAGCACATTGATGGTATGTTCCTTTGTGATTTACTGGAATGTAACTTGTTTTGTATAATCGTCGGGTAATAATTTTGAATCTGTACGATGTATTAATTGTGTCTTCCATGTAATATGTACATAGAAGTTTTAATTATTGTATAAACAATGATTATGTGAACTATAAACCTTCAAATAAATAAATTCTGACTCGAATACATAAAATATTCACTCAGATAATTTTAACCAGTTTCGTTTTGGTAAATTTCAATGCCTGTTACTGTATACGTAACTGTTGTACATTCTCTGAAAGGTTGAATTCGAGATGTACCGTTTTTTTTATGATTGTGTCTGTATATTGCGTAACACCCTTGAGAAAATTAGGAGAAATATATTCTGTGATAAATGAACCCCGTCTTGTAATAAAATGAGGGTCCCACTCTGGCATTGGTAAGCCGAATATGGGGTTAACGCAATCCCTGGAATGTATATTCTTGTTTAGTAACATTTGATTAAAATTCATTTTAAACTCTCTAATTTCTTAATACGATTTATTATAATTAAGATTTATATCATGATATTTGTATATTTACACTATCGGCGCAGATGACAACGTATTTGAATTCGTAAAAGATATAACTGCTCCAGATGGCAAAATTGACAGCAAGCTTCAGTCAAGTAAGTGATTGTATGAAATTACCTCAGTAGTGAACACTTTAGTCTAGAGGTGGTGAGATGCTCAAATCAAATAAAGAGTTTATTTATTTCACTACGTATTCGTCATATATTAATTGATTTCACAACTTGTATCAAATTTTCATTCTTACACTTCATCTTTGAAAATTATATTTTAAAGACTCACAATAACAACTATCAACGATCGATGTCAAACACGTCAAAAATCCATATATCCAGAAAGTTTTTTTTAAACATGTTTTCTTGATATTATTTTCAACAGAAATAATGAAAGATCCACATGGTGATAATAACAATGCAGGCTCAAATCAACGTTCCAAGGTGGGTTCTGCTCAAATTACTTCCATCGACTTAAACGTGAAGTAAATGTTATCACACGTGTATTAGTCTAGATTATGTGCTATTAATTTCTTCTTTTGTGTTACACGGTGAAGAATTTCAAACGACTTTAAAGGTTGTTTTTACTAAGAATTTAAATATTGACTTACAAGAGACTTTTAATATTTATTGAAATAGGTTCCGCATACGAAGAAAAAAAACAAAAAGAAAAAAGGTATACATAATCACCATATGCGCAACTCTTTCCCATCATTATATCATGGAATAACCCATTGTGGTTTTTGCATCTCGGTTATTTAATTTCCTATGCGTGAAAAATGTTTACTACCTTAGTACTAGCCATAAATATCCTCAATTTTATAAAACAAATATAGACACTGGAAAATTCAAATTATTGTAAAACAAATTTATATTCATTTGACAAATTCTGCTTTTTTGGGGATAAAGGAAATTGTGATAAAAATATAAGTAATTATGAATATAATTCGCACATAGAAGAGTTAAGTGAACGTTTAATAAACTGTGCTTCATACATGCGCAGATTTATCCACACGTTGTTACAATAGCAATACTGAGACTGTCACATTGCAGCTAACATG